TCAACGCCATTCTCCACCGATACCGGCCAAATCTTATCGATTGGAATAAGGTGAGGTTGTTCTGCTGCCGCGCCCTCTGTTCGTATTCCCTCATTGAAGTTTGCTCGAAACCGTTTTTTCCTTCATACATTAGTTCGGGGCTTCGAGTGGTGGCTGGGTAATTGAATGGAGGAGGCGAATGCGCCATTTGACTCGCGCTCTGAAAATTTCAGAGGATAAAAAGTGCCAGTGATGTGAGTCACTCAGCATACATCTAATAAATTCGTGGTGCGTGGGTCACACAATGCTGCCCATTACATTACGAGGGGTCATAGATGAACTACAACTCCCATTTATTGTGTTTACCTCTGAATCAATCGAACAGTGTAACACGATGACCTTCGAGAGAATTCTATCGTAGTAAAGGAATCGTATCATTACTGTTTAATGGGCACCTCTGAAGGCGTCTGTGGAGATTTGAGGAGTGACAGAGGAAGTGGGCGGGGGAATTTTCACCTTTCGCTGCTTTCATAAGTTTGGTGGAACATGTGGACTCTTGTGAAGTGGAGCGAGCTGGTCCGCCAACATGGTAAAATCTGTCACACTTGTATACTCATGAAATAGCTCATGAAATGGCTTTCACATGAATTTACAAGAGTTGACAGGTGGAATCTTGGCTGGTATCAGGTGCAATATGCCCCCCCCCCCTTCCTGTCGCTGAACCGCTGGGCGACTCATTTGAAGGAAGTGCTCGACATAGAACTCCTTGGTTACAGGTTAGCGACAGTTCGGTATCAAACCGCGAACGATTGGAGAATGCTTTCGCAGCAGCAGAAAGGGAATTTGGTGTGGATCGACTGCTGGATGCTCAAGATGTCGACACGGACCACCCCGATGAAAAGTCGATCATCACCTATGTCTCATCGCTCTACAACGCTCTACCACACCTACCTGAACTATCCAAGGTATTTTTAGTACCCCCTCCACCCAGTGTGTGTCACCTTTTGACAAATGTTCTGTTGTTATGTCACATTAACTCTGATTTATGCACTTAACATTGTCCTGCCTATTACTAACCCTACCTTAGTTCATGTCAATGCAAGATCAGTACATAGTGGAAGCACGTGCATGGATGGAACTGGTCGAAAGAGCGACTATGCTGATAGAGAATGATGCACTCTTCGAGTCTATTAGCGAATTTGAGAGATATCACGACGATTATATGTCGAGTCGTGCTAAGGAATATGATTATTTGATGGAAAGGCATGAATTTCTTCGACGTCATCTGTTTGGCACTGATCACTTTTGTGTTCCCAGCAGTCTCACAGGGCACGCATTAAGAGATGCTTGGTCAAATCTCACATACCTGAATGATCGCAAACATGCTTACCTTCAACAAAAGATCATTCAGGTTCGTCTCTCATCTTAACACGGCCTGTTTCTGTTAAAGGCTCAAGGCACGATAAATTGGTACTTGCTGAAAAAAGTAGCAGGGGCGCTATTCTGTGGGAAAATGGCGAAAAAGCGAAGTTCAACGGCCAAAAACCTGCGAAAACACTTTGTGCTGTACGGCATTGGACGAGCATTTTTGGACGAGTTTACCGTTGCGTCGCTCCTAAAACCGCTTTCACAGATACGGTTGCACGTATGTATTCATATATCCACGCGGAAACACTTATCAATTCTACTTAAAAATGAAGTGATAAGAGTACCAGCGCTGACGTGACTACACGGCCATTTGTGGGAGGGCTCTTGCGCTGGGCATCTGAGTCGGCATATTAGTTAGGCGCTATAACGGTGCCATTGGTTGGAAAAGACGCCGTGCAGCCCCTGCTTGGGATCACAGTATTCTTCCGTACTAGGCGTATCTACCCTACACGCCTTGCCAATTTATCGTGCCGCTTGCCTTTAAGTTCTGTGAGAATTCTGCATGTTTAACTCACGTTGGCTAGATTAACATCACCCACTCATCCTTGTCCTTTCACCATCATCTTTGACATTTTGCCAAATTCCCAGATCTCTTATTGCAGAGCAATTTGTCCGACTTGATTAGCAGATTGTCTCGTGGAATTGGAATCACCAACGAAAAACTTGATCTGATTCTTTCTCCGTAAGCAACTTTTCCTTGGATTTTTTTCTCTTCTGAAACCCATCCACCACCGTTCCACATGAAATCCATGAAACATTCTTTAGGTATCGAAGATGTTGAGTCACGTGTGGACACAGGTCGTCCAGGCGAAATCGAAAGAACTGTGAATGAGATTGTCGATGACCTAAATGCCTTAGAGGTTCCTATTGGAGGATTCTTTGACGATGTCGAGGAACTCAAGGCACAAAATCATCCCGAAGCTAACGACTTTTATCGACAGTTCGTTCATTATTAATCAGACTTAAGGGCACATTTTGCGATTGCAAGTCGTAGCTGGTGGGGTTTAACCACGGAAATGTTTACGCTGACGGATTCACCGATGAAAATCCCCTAACACCCAATGTTTGCATCTCCCTATACAAGTCTGTACCGAATAACCAACCTAGGGAATGTGGTTGTAAGGCCCGGTTGGCCGGGCCCGAGCACAGATTCGAAGGCCTTTTTGGGAAAAAACGTTTCGGGTTTTTGGCATTCCTTGGCTCGGTTTTTTTCATGTTTTACGTGCGCTTGGCCCCACCCCTACAAACCCTGCCGCAAGACTCGGCGGCAGTTTTTGGAGGGAAATGAAGGTGAAGGAATTTTAGGGAAAAAACATCTAAAGTAGTTAAAAGTGGAGAAGGTACAAGAAGATGGCAGACAGGAGGGAGAATGGTGAAGGAGGTCGTATCAAAGGAGGAACTCTTAGTCGAGCGACAGGACGTGCACTGATTTCTACTTATTGATGTTAGCTATTCTTTCCTGCCATGTCGCTTTTGAGGAGTTTTCAGCGAGGGGTGGGGGAGCCGTATTTGGGCTTCGGAGGGAACGGAATGGTCCTGGCTATTGGCGCGCTTTAGTTAACGCCGCCGCAAGTTTACTTCTTCCGATAGTTGGTCGCAGGCGTGCATTCCCGGGAGCGGCGAAATTTTGGGAAAGGGCGGAAGTACCCAAAGGCGGGAAGTCGAATTCTGAAAATTCTCCCTGGCATCACGACCCAGCTTGATTTCCTATCCCATCCTTATTTATCGCAGCTGCTATTACATCGATGGCATACGAGCTACGTGGGTGTCCGTAGTGATAAGGCGATAGCCCGCTTTCTGCGCACGTTTGAGATCACGTCTTTGACTGTTGTGAGCCGGGTACATCCAGTAAGTCCCTTACCCACCCCCATTTTTCATATGATACGACCCCCATCCCATCTTTGAGTGCTATCTACCATCTCCCTGAATTCCTTCAACTACCTCCTTTTTTCCAGTGCTTTTTTTTCAAAATGCTCCAGTCCAATTCCAGACAAAAGCTGCTGTCAAGCATGGGGATCTGGGGAGGAGGATCTTTTACCAAAAGCAAGTGCGAACCTCTCCGGTGAGTAAATACAACCCCTCCCCTTGCCTGGGACTCCAAACATACGGCGTGGTTGTGAGCCAGGTTACCTACCCCTGGAGCGGATTAGGGTTCTCAATCGCGCAATGTGCCTTCAGTTGATGGAACTACGAATGAATACGTTGCTTTCAGAGTGTATGGGCTTCATCAACGTCGCACTGCCTATTTGGATCGTCTCACGAATCAGTTACTGGTTCGTCTGGGTGTACGCACTGAGACGTTGAGAAAAGAGAATGCTAGCCGTCTCGAATCAATTCGCACCGCCAGTTTCAATCGTGTACAGGAGTGTATCGAATGGGTTCGCGTGAGACTGGTATGCCGTTAAAGTTTTTCCATGGCAATAGCAATCGCGTGCGAAATGGTGACATTTTCCAGGAAAAACTATCCGAAATGGAGTTCCTTGAAGATCTGGAAACATTGGAGGAAATGTTCGAACAGCATAAGTTAGACAACAGGGACATTCAGGACTTCCGTCAAAACGTTGACGAATGCATCGCCCGTCAGGTGCGTCAATGAGTTTGCTTTTTTGGAATGAATAGTCACAGTCAAAGGTACTTCTAGTGAAAGACTGCCAGTTTTGGGTGAAAACTTGCCGTAGGCACGAGGCGCGTACGGGTGTTAGTGTTGGTTTTGTTATGGGTGTGTGTACCCATGGCAGGCGGACGGCTAGTTTTTGAATGTTTGTGCGTAATTGTACGCGCGGCTCCTTGCGTGCGCGCACGGTCACACCGCCACCTTTCCTCGCGAACATTCGGAAAACGTTTTTAACGAATTTTAGTTGCGACAAGTCAGGGAGAAGTGAAATGAATTGCAAGGCAGTTTCGTGATTGGGTGTTGGAAGAATAGCGGTATTTCCACCCAAATGATGATTTCACCCAAATGACTAATGTCCTTCATTACTCCTCTATTGTAGTTATGATCGATAGGCAATAGATGAATAGTTTTGTTTTTAGCGGTTGGAAATGCGCTGCGGTCTTGAAGGGGTGGCGGCGGGAGGAGGGGGGAGGTGTGTCATTCTTTTGAACAGAGTGCAGGAAGAAATCAACAGAAGTATTTTTCAAGGCCATTAAGAATGTCTTCATGGCTATGAATAACTTGTTAAGTAGCAAACGACAAATTTCCAGCCCTCGATTTTTGAATGCACCCGCAGACCACTTCCACTGAGCATAGCTCCGTTCAGAAGCCTCTTTTCTTTTACAATGACCTGCATTACCATATCAACACACACTTCAGTTTTTTCAAGAGAATGATAATAGTCAGGGCAAAGTTTAGCATCAGGCTGGACTTGAGCCTGCATCTCCGCTTTCCGGGCAAATGCGCTATCCGTCGCACCGCCACGGCCCTTACATATCAGCTTCACGACTTACCTCTGGTACGGTCATTCACTTACTTCCCGATCCACCTTTGTCCGTACTCCGAACCGACAGCCCAATGGTCCGAACCCCTCGCTCAGTCTACCATATTTTTTCCTTAGAAAATCCTCCAGACTTCATTCCAAAAAAACTGCCACCACCTCTGCGAGATGTAAGAACGGGGCAAAGAAAGGGAGGAGACCCCTGTCTCACAATATAAAACTTATTCCGCATCAATCGGGAGTGCTTGCCAGGAGCTTAACATGGAGTTGGCACAATTGAGTCCGCCATAGAGCAGGGTGAGGTCTCATTGGGGCTATCGGTGGTTGAGAGCGTTATGCTCTACTGCGGAACGGACAGGACTCAGAACAGCGTAGCAAGAGCTCCTGACTGGTAGTGTAATTGCATTAATGACCTCCTTTCCGAAGTTTTTCAATGAATTGCAATACCTGTAACAGATACTGGTGTGGGGGCTGGATAGATAGGGGCGATACTCCAAAATGCCACTCAGTCCCGCACATATAGAGAATGTGAACTGACTCAAAAATTGGACTAATTGACAAGCAGATGGTCACATGGAGAGTAAATGAACACTTTTCGTGATATGGTTTCCGTTCCATTTAGCCCGGCATAGGGTTGTTAGGGTCCGTATATAACTCTGTGAGAGGGAGCTGTCCGCAGAGGGTGATGATTATGACTGGCCGAAAAGAGAAGAGGCAAACGCATGCTGCGGCTTCCACCGGGTACAAATCCTAGAAATGACACCGGTAACAGCCGCTCAACGCGTAGATTCACTTCCTGCCCTTAGGTGGGGGGGCGCAGACAAGATGAGGGGCAGTAAAACGGTACTAAGTTGGTTTTGAGTGGATAAGAACACAGGCTTGTACACTAGCTGGCAGGCCACATCGCGTCCAGTGAGCCGGCTTACGATTCTGAATGGAAGTAGAAATGCGTGCCGCACTCCAAATTTGAATTGATCAGCGGCGAAAACTATCCTTTTACCTACAATTCTTAAACAGCTCTTGTGGCTATGGTGCTAGTTCAAATGTTGTGTGAAGCGCTTAGTTTTAATTGTTTACAGGCGGAAGTTTCTGCGGAAGACACGTATGAGTATTGCGAGCTCCTTCGGGTACTGGAATCCGAATACCAACAGCTGAGGGATTTATCAGCTGGAAGAATGCTCGATCTGGTGCGTTCCTGTGTCTGCTTCTCTTATCGTTCTACTTTATCTATCTAAAGCGTTGCAGGATTCGCTGATCGCCTTCGTGCGAGCTGCCCAGATGGAGCTTGTCTGGGTATCGGAACGTGAGGAGATCGAAGTCACCCGCAACTGGTCAGACATAAAGCAGCTAGACCTACCGATGCTCACAAATTACTACAAACAGGTGAGCCTCCGAACATTTTTGTGGCTAATAAGTCAACTTTCCTTTATCGGATAGTGAGATTTTATCGTTTCAGCTACTTCATGAGATGGAATTGCGTGAGAAGCAGTACAACGACGTGCACAATCAAGGAGCCGCTTTGTTGAATCAGGGCCATCCTGCGGTTCATGTCATCGAAGTCTATCTAAGGACTATGCAAAATCAGTGGGATTGGTTGCTGGCGCTTAGCAAGTGCCTAGAAGAACATCTTCGTGATGCACTCAATCTGAAATCGGTATGTTCCCAATGGAATTCGGGCGCAGTTCCGCCACAGGGGGGGGGCATTTTGCATCTGCTACTTCACGTATTGAGCCATCAAGTGAGACATGTGGAAACTTGTGAACCAGAAAATGATACACGTCAGAACTAGTGAAGCAGCAGTAGTGCAAAAATGCCCTCTTAGCCGAACTGCCTCAAAATTCGACGCTTTCTCCAGTTTTCATTTTCTCTCCTAATTTTTTTTCGTTCAGTTCACTGAAGAAGCGGCCGATGCAGAGGCGTGGATGGAAGAGCAGGCAATCCGCCTTGAGAACAGCTACAATCGCACAGATTTTGATCTTGAAGAAGGAGAACGTCTCCTACGAGAACTCGATGAAATGAAGGTGAGCCTGTCGTCGATTTGTGACTCCGTATCTCGAAGATGAGAGAGCGTGGCTTCGTGCTTCATTCCATCGTCGCACAATGCGTTCCTCGCAGATTTCATTCGTTTGAGACATGTGCCATCCCTTCTTGGGCTGGACAAGGACATGGCTACAATCCTTCTAAAACGCCCATCTCCAACCTGAAACGCAGTCCTCGCCACGTTCAAATGGAGTGCGCGGCCACGCCCCTCCCACCTCCATGATATAGAGTGCAATTATGCGCAAAGAATGCAATCCACGTTTTCTGATTTTAAGCGTTTCCCTGGACATAATACATTTTTTTCAGGAAATTCTCAACAAATATCATTCGGTATTGATGGCTCTGACTGAGCGTTGCGCTACGATTTCTCCACTTTGGCAGAGAGGCGAGCGCATTACTCGCCCGATTACTGTCACGGCACTCTGTGATTACTCCGACAAAAACGTTCACATCAAAGCTGGTAAGGCCTTCATTTTGGAAATTTTTATGAAAACCAACCAGCATTTTCGAGGAGGCGCGCTGAAATTTCTTTCCTAGGAGACGAAGTGACCTTGCTAGACAATTCGGATCTGATCAAATGGCACATTCGCGACCTCGCCGGATCGGATGGTACTGTACCATCTGTAGTATTCCGTATCCCTCCACCAGATCCTAAGCTGACAGCTTACCTGAACCGTCTCCTGCAGCAATTCGAAAAGCTGAAGAAGTTGTGGGAGAAAAAACATCGTATGGTTCGCTTCAACATGGTGCTCAACACCATGAAAACTATTCAGTACGTCGTTATTCGTTTAGCATTTGGCAGAGGTGTTTCCATTTGAAATGAGGGTCTTTCAGAGGTTGGGATCTCGACACATTCAATGCCATAGACCCTGAACAACGAGACGCAATTATGCGTGCACTGAATGACGACGCTAACAAGTTACTGGCCGAGATGGATCCAAACGATCCGCTTGGCCTTACGTCTGAAGGAAGAACTAAGACGTACAAACGAACACTTCTGGGATTTGCTGAATGCTAGTCAGAAACCACCAGGTAATCAAAATAGACTATTTAAAGGGGCACTAAAT